ACGCATTTCACCAGCCTAATGCCAAATGACACCCACATAACTGCTGCTGGGCCCTGCAACTTCCTATTGCAGCATCACCACCCACCTTCTGGCTGTATCAATGACAAGTTACCGAAGCGATGACAGCAGCAGTCTGTCCAACCTGGGCTGTAAGAGCAGCAAAGATACAGCGAGTGCCTACTTTTGGATGGAAGCATAGCATTTACTGACAGATGAGAATGTTTTCATTAGATGAGCTGATACAGCAGGAAAAAAAGAGAGAAGCCTCAGGCATTCAAGGCGCAGTTGCTGGAGCCACACTCCATTTACCACACGTCACCAGCAGTGTACATGCGTAGAACGACACTGAGAACACTCGGCTCTTCAGGTTTGAGTTCCTGTTGCTTCTAATGCACACCCCATCCTTTCTGAAGGGACAGCAGTGGGGAACATTAACTGCACCTCTGCTTGGACAGCACATACTAAAAATGTCGCATTAGACACAACTCCAGCAACAAGCACTGGGATCACCGGTCTCTGCAGTTCTCCTCAGCAGTAGTACAGGTGCTGTAAATAACTTGTTAGTAACTCACAGAATTTTAACATACCAAAAATTATATTCATTTGGATGCTAAAAAAACACCACAGTTGAACCCAACCTGCTTCTGAAACACTGCTTTGACAACCGGAGAGGGAAAACAATGAAAGGCTTTGAGTTTTCATGTACTTTATTTACAGGCCACACAATACATTTTATATACAAATGGCTTAAAATAACAAAGAGTAAGCAAGCTGAAGCATAACAGTTTGATTATTTTAAATTAGGTTGTCTTGAAATAACTCCTGCAATAAAGTATTCTTCACCCTGATAAGCAAAAGTTAGTTTGATTTTAAGTCAACCCATGGTCGTTTCATTTTTAAATACAGAATTGTGACTCCTTAGTTTCATGACACACTTCTGCGTATATAGAACATCCCAAAACTATCAAAAAGGGAAACAGCCAAAATTTCCCCATGTAAAAAAAAACAACCCAGTGTAACAGAATAGACTGGAGAAATGTTGTATGTAAAACACTCACGTGTTTTATTAACAAAAAGAAGAACGCAGGAAATACATCTTAGATTTTTCTCTCTCGGAAACAGAATCCATGGTCTGAGATCTAATTTGCCCGCAGACAAGAGGTATCCTATGTTACTTCAGTACTTCAGTTTTTACTGCACAATTATCTGTTAAACTCATCCAAGTGTAAACTTCACCAAAACTGAAACCGCCGCCTGCACCAAGCAAAAGGAGAAGAGCACTCAAACCCCAAAGGAACTTACATGACAGCGCTTCCAGAAGCGCCTCTGCTTCTAGAGAGCACCTCACACTACTGTGGTATGGAGAAAATCCAACACTGACCATGTTTTATGGAAACGTAAGAAAATATAGACGTTTGCCTTCTAAAAATTATTTTTCCCAAGAAATTATATTAACATTTAAGGATACATGTATTTTTACACCTTTTCCCTAACACTGCTCCTTCTGTCCAAGATGATAACAACTAGCAATCCATAATAAAAGCTGTTTCCTTTTCCTTTGGCTGATTTTAAGCATATTACAATAGTCTAAAAGTGTTCTAAAAGTCATGGTCACAGCAGTCCAGTCGTGCTCACTTTCTTCCTCTTGGTATGGATGAAGACCACCGAATATAAATAATGAAGTACTTGCTACTTGATAGTCCATGATTACAGCATTTTGCTATGTTTATTTAGAAATACAAACACACAACACTTACTTTTCGATGTAGTGTCCAGGTCTCTGTAGCACACTTTGGAATTGCAGCACGGAAAACATAAACCCAAAGGAATCGGGGGCGGGGGGAGGAAGTAACAAAAGCCACAGCTCCACAGAAAAACAACACGGGTTTCAGAATGTCTACAACTGCATCAAAAACGCAAGAGCCACGCGATGTAAAATGCCAAACTAGCACAGACTTTGTTCAAAAGGGTAAAACTCTGAACTGACATAAGCACCTCGTCATGGGGTTTGATTCAAAGGGAATTTTGATAGGTCATACACAGGTCCAATACAAATGAATGTGGACCTACAGTCCTTAGATCCGTCCAGTTCCCTGGCTGCTGACCAGCCCAGACACAGCTCCAGGGTCAGGGATAAATCCTCCTGCCATGCATCCCAAGGGCTGCCCTGCAGGAGGAGGGCAGAGCTCCTGACCCACACGTACAGCCTCTCCCTGCCCTGCCCAGGGGAAAAGGCTGTCAGAGCCAAGAAGACCCCCCGGGTTGCAGAGAAGGTGATCTCTTCAGTTAGCACACATGGAAATATGTTATCTTTCCCTCCAAATTATCCCAACACTGTAGCCCCAGTCAAATACAGTGTTCCAAGTCACAGGCTAGTAGAAAACCTTACACTGAATTTGGGGAAAAGTCACTGTGCAGTATGCAGCTGCCACAGCGTGCCAGTTCTGGGTTTGATTCATCTGGAAGTTCCACTGTCTATTGCATCTCCTCATAGGATTACTCGTGCTGTTTTGGTTGGGTTCTTTTTCACGGCCAAAGACTGAAATCCATTTTGGTGGAACGATGCAAGATCAGAGTACTGCCAGCCCATAAGGAATTGCACTGTCATTTACACGTGCAGAGGAGACTGACTTCTCTGCATTAAATGAGGTGAACTAAATGACTTGAAAATTTACCTCCAGAAGGGAAGCAGCAGGAGACAGGATGCCTTCCTTGCATTTTTGTATTGGAAGTCAAATCATTTAGTCCTCCGAGATCTACCTTCCATTTGAACTTACCTGCTTTTTTAGCCAACTATCACCTGCAGTCGCAGCTGAAGTGCAGGAAAGTAACACCAGACTGCATGTTTTTAGTGAAAGCAACTGCCTAAAAGCTCTGCAAGTCTTGCTCGATTCTGACAAAAAGCAGTCTGTGCGTATTACTGTGGGACTGGCTTTGTTAAGGTTTGTAGACAGAAAGCCTTAGCTGACATTGTCCATAGCTAAATGAAACTAATGATTTTTGCCTTTAAAATTTTACTGGCAGAAAAATGCTACAGGGGGTGTCCTTACTCAAGGAAAACTATCATTCACATGTGACTCTCTTGTTTTATTAAGCACAGGCTATTCAGGTCATCAGTATGCTTATGACCAGGTTGCTTTTATTTTCAGATCACGGGATTTTCTACTGTGTCTAGTGAAGGCAACTGCCAGACTTACAGGGACATCGGAAGCAGCATGACTCTCTCTCCATTTCTCATTTGCCAGATCCTCAAATGCTACGTAGTTAGCGAAGGGAGTTTCTCCATGCTCTACAAAGTGGTAGTTAAGCCATATACGAACCAGGATTTTCAACTAAAACAAAAACAAAACACCAACAACTTTGGCTTCTATTCTGAAAATCCAAAAAGTCACTGACAAGACTACGTTCGTAATAGTGTAAGTAGAAATTTTACTTTCTTAAAAGTAATAATTAAACACTCAGTTACATAAGGTACCGATTTGTCAACTGGATAATCAGTTGGAAAATTGTTTCCAATATGGGCTTTAAAACATTCTTTTACGTACATGCAAAATATAACCATACCTCCTCTCTGCAGGAGAGAGACCACTTGTTGTCAAAGGAAAAGAAAAACATGCTGGAAGTTGTAATTAATATGAGTGGCTCTTGGTAAGAGTTTGAACTACAGTCATTTTATCAGTTGTTCAGAGAGACTCGATTCCAATCTTAAAATGTTCTGTGGAATGGCAGATATAAAATCGATTAATTGGCACAATCACAAGTTTACAGTGAATTAGAACTAGTGTCAAAACATTCTGCTGTTGCTTTAAATACTGGTCATTTTTCCTTTGGTTACTTCCTATAAATGCAGTGTTTGTGGTAAAAAGACGACAGCGTCAGCTTTTCACACAAAGTAAAGTACTGCTGTTGACATTTAAGAGAAAAAAAAACCCCAAAACTTATTTCATCACTTGGTAAGGACATATAAAGTATAGTTTATTTGGCAGAGGAACTAAAACACTTACTACAACTCCAAGAGGGAGCTGAGGAAAAACTACACTCTTCATTCTTCTCCTCACTTTCACCGTTTTCTCATGACGTTCAATTTGGAAACGGTACTTCATCAAGGTAAGATTAGGTCTCTAAATAACTGGCCCACCTGAAGTAAACAGCACAAGGTTATGACCTATTTCAGTTGCCTATTATTATCTGAATTTCCATGTTAACTACTGAGGTTTAGGGATTAATTTTGTATCGATCTATGAAGTACTTCCAAATTTTTGCAGACCTTAAGCTTACATGTTAAGGCACTTACCATTCAAGTAAAACAGTTTTTATATAAACAAGCCCGGGAGATGGAGAGAACATTTTACCAGAACAGCCATTCTTTTTTTTTTTTTTCCCCCTTAAAAAAAAGGAAAGGAAAAAAAAAAAAAACCCACATTGACCAAATATTTATAAAAATTTGCATCAAGAGAAAGGTTGTGTTTTATTATCTGAAATGAGCACAAAGTACACCTTCCACAATAACACTGAAAGCAGTGCAAAGACTGACAGTGACCTTTGACTAAAGGTAGTTCTGTAAAAAGAAAAATACCAAATAAATCAGTGCCCTGCTTTGATTGTTGTAAAATTTCTTTTTTTTCTTTTTTTACATAAAAGTTGGTCCAAACTTACAAAAAAAGCACAAATGTGCATAGTTCAGAAGGTCTGAAAGAGTGCCATAAAAAGCTGATGTCCCTAAATTTAGCATCCACTTAAAACTGCCAAAATACAAAATAAAATCCAGAACTAGAGTTTGTGAACATGTACAATCGGTTTATCTAGGTTTCAGACAGCATGAGTTTGAAGCATTTTTCAGTTTTCCTACTGTATGCAAGACCCTTTTCCACATAAAAATAAAGCTGTTGAATTAACATTATTCAAGTCTGTTGAATTGCTGCTTTAAACTGCAGCGAGGGAACAAAAAAAAAAAAGAAACAACCCCAAAAAACAAAAAACAAGGAAGTTTTTCCAGATAAAAATGATGTGCCTGAGGAAAAACAGATACTCAATATGGTAATCCTCTGCCTCGCCCTCTCACTGCAGATGTGCTAATGTGTCCCCTGTATCCTTGGGAATAGCCGGGTCCTTGGGCAGGAGAAGTCCAAGTCTGTCCATGCATGTGGCCGATGCCACCAGGATTTTCCTGTAAGTTACTTCCGAAGCTATAGTTGTGCATCTTTGTGGGCAAAGGGTGCGTGCTCTCTGGCCCCACAGGAGCATCACTGCTGCTGCCCAGAACCGGGATTGGGCCGTGGCTGTATTCAAACCTATGGTCTTTATCTCCACTAAATAGCATGGGGCCAGCATTGAGGTAAATGTCTCCATAACCAGTTACTGAGCCTGGAAAGGATTCCGAAAAGGCCGATGGAGGAGGGGGAGCACCAGAGTGAGATGAAGCAGTACTGTAGTTATCCAAAGACTGAATATCCGAGTTTCCAAGGAAGCTTCTCCTTTCTAATGCTCCTGATGATCCGCTTCCTATTCCATCACTACTGCCATAATGGGCAGATGAGAAGGAAGATGGTCCAAAGTTATCCTTGTAGTCTGCGCCTGGTACGTAGGGTTCTCTAGGCTGATAATCCACGCTCGTTTGTACTGGCTCCTCTGTTGTCGCCTGAGCTTGATGCTGAGCAAGCAGCTGCAGAAGGGCTGCTTTCACTCCTGCGTGAGGATCTGTTCCTGAAGAGTTAGTTATAGGCAAATGCTGGTTCTCTGTCCGATAATCAAGGTCTTCATCAGTGAGAGGCGGAGGCTCTGGTGGCTCTGGGGGACGCTGGTCTGGAGGCAGAATCCGCGGGCGCTCTTGTTCGGGTGTTCGGTTTAGAAGCCTCAGCTCAGACTGCCTAACCAAATCCTCTTGACCTAAGTAGATGAAAAGGAAAAGCTTTGGAATAAAAATACACAATAACAATACCAGGAAGAAAAAGGACTCTTTCCTCAAACAATACAGACGTTTGTTACTTCAGTTCTCATTAACTTATCACTTAAATCTATTGGTAGTTGGTCAGATTATTTTGGGGAAGGCAACAGCTCATTTGCCTCAGGAGGGTGATGCAGGTTTCTCCTCAAACTAAGATTACCAGGCAAGTAGTTGAAGAGGGGTACAAGCTCCTTAAAAAAAATCCCAAACAAAAAACCACACTCAAAAGAATCCCAACCAAAACTTGACAAACGCATAAATACTAGAAAATTCAAAGAGGGGTCAGAAAAGATTTGCAAATAGGGATAGAAGCCTTGAGGGACAAAAGGCCACTCTTAAACTCAAAAAGAGAACCCCCAAAACACTTGAGAGCACTTTCAACAGCTCCAAACACCACAGAGCAATACATAAACCACCATATAGTAAAACTGAAATAGCAATCCAAAAAGATCAGCAAGAGAACTCTAAACTTCAAGACAACTAAGGAAGCCACTAATATTCCCCAATGGAAACCTTCAATCATGTATGTCTGAGTGACAGTTAGGAGTAACCTCCTACAGAATCTGACACTAAGAAATTGCTCTTGTCAGCATTAAGAACAAAATTAAAATAGTCTCTCCCCAAAATAGGCTTTATCTAAACATAGTCAAAATTAGCAAATTCCATCTATGAATTGCTAGAGAAGACTGTCTTCTCCACCACAAACACCACTAATAAAACCCCAAACCTCCAGAACAGCCATCAGTGTAACTGTTTCATCAGAAATACTGCCAGCACTTGTGTACCTCTTAGAGCAGGGATCATCTTTTGCTCTGTCTGCATGGCACCTGCTACAGTAAAACACAAATTCTATGATCCAGATGTAAAGCGTGACAGAAACAATTGAGTCATCTCTCCTATACTCACACAAACTCGTATGGTTAACATGTTAACTCTTTATCCCCAAATCATGACATTTCCACTTCTCAAGGTATCCGCCCATTAGCAATAAAGACCTTCAGTACCTGCAGATGTATATAATGACTTGATCAGATGTGGGTAGCCGGGTGCTGGAGATTCCACGTCATCCCGGCTGACAGACACAGGCGTGGTGGGCTCTGGAGGCTGCCTGAGTTGTAATGACATTTCATTTCCTGATCCGTTCTCCTTCTCCTCCAACACAAAATCTTTTTGTTTTGTTTGCTGAGCCTTTATTAACTGAGACAACAGAACAGCAAATGCACTCTGCACAGCTGCCTGGGCAGCATCAGTCTCAACTTTAGGCTGGTTCAGCTGAGCAGGTGGTACAGGAGGCTGAGTGACCGTCGGCTGTTTGAGAGGCTCCTGTTCGGGTGGTGGTGGCGGCGGCGGCGGCTGCTGCTGTTCTGACTGTTTTTCACCTGCTGACAAAATTCCAGCAGGAAGATTTATTTTATTTAGTTGCTGCTGAGTCTCTGGGTTTACCTTAATATTCAACACTTGGGCAAACTGTGCCAAACTAACACTTGTTTTAGACTGTAGCAGGTTTAGCAGGATTGCCACTTCATTCTGGTTTAACTGCTGTCCAGTGCTTGTTTTAGCTAAAGACAAAAAAGGTGGTTTTACTTATTATTTAGAACTGGCATATTTCAGAAACTCAAAAGTAAGACTAATCTAGCATGGCTGACATAACTGGCAAAGCATGAGTTTGGACAACATAGAAATGGAATGCTTTTACGTATTAACTGCCTTTGGGGGAGTATCTATAGGACATGGAATAGGAAGATCCAGTATAAAGAAAGTGACTTCCAAGGGGTATGCACACACACTTGGACAGATGAGAAACATCAAGCTGGAGCTCAATTTTCTGTAACACAACTAAGCTGGGGCTTAGGGCCACCTGCTTTAGGCAGCTATAAGATTTCCAATTCCTGCAAAATCTCCTATCTTCGACATATCACATCCCTCTGTTAAAAAGTGGCCATCTGCAAAACGCATTTCCAGTCATATTCTGGCCTGTTCTAATTTAGCATCTGGATTCTAACACCTGCTCAAGTGACCAGGCTCTAGGTGATGCAGAAGCTAGCAAGTATAAATGCAAAAGCAAGTGCTGAGTTTGAAGGACAAGTCATCGATCAATAGCAGGGAAATGCAGTTTTGTGATGGCATACAATTCCTTCAGTGAAATGGAGTTTGCCACAAGTAAAAGGAGAGTATGATGATGGAGAGGAATATGAATAAGGAAGTCAGAATATCAAAGTAGTTTCTTAGTTTCTAGCATCCATTGTGGCAGTTTATTTGGAAAGAAGTGAAGCAGCATGGATTTCAACATGCTCAATGAGGAGATGACTAGTAGATGAAAGTAGTTAAAAAATGAGTGTGACTGTGCTGGCAAAGCCCTGATTTTTTTTAACCTAGATTAATATGGACACATTCTGTCCTCTTCTATCCCTGATTCTGCTAATTCACCAATATATTAATTCATAGCAGAGTCAAAGCCATTCCTGCATGAACAGTCACACACACAAAAATGTTAAGTATTTGCCTTCCAAGACTACAAGCAGGACAACTGGAAAATGCTGCAAAACCGAAAACCCACTACCCTACTTATGGATGTGCACCAAGATACAAGAACTTGGAACTGTATTCAGGTAGAGTCCAGGGACTTCAATTATTTTATACATTTATATATATAAAATCATCTTTTTGGCAATACAGAGAAAATTTCTAAGGCCTTGAGAGACTTCTGGCTCTCACTCAGATGTCAGGATTAATGGTTGATTTTGTAACATCTGAGGACACTTTGCTCAACACTCGGACTTTTCTCTGGATCTCAGTGAAAATTCAGCAGAAAAATGCCACACAGGGAAACTAACCTACATATATATACCTATTCTAACCATACTCTGGTTATTTTCAAGCCCATTCCAAGAGCAAACTTGTGTTCTCAGAGATCTGGCAGTTTCTATCAGAACAGAATTATTGAGCTCTCATAGCTCCTGTTAAATTTTAAGATGCAATAAGCAGGGGACCCATTTGTGAATGAGAACATTAGCAATTGATTCAAGGTGGTTTTTAACCTCTTATCTTGGGGTGCTCAGAAAAATGCAACAGTTTTGAAAGCATGCATTTGTACACGGACTTTTTTAGTGTGCCTTATTGATAATATTATCTAATATTATCTAATTATGGCTTCCACAACTGTTTTGCTTAATACAGAAAACACCTCTATGCTGAACTGTCTAAGCTCCCTTAAGAATGAAACTGTCTTCTACCTAGATTTATTTCTTTATGTACATATGGGCAAACAGCAGTATAGGTCTGAATGATTCCATCTCTATTTGTTTAGTTTATTTACATAGCTAATATTAATGATTAAGAGTAGTCTCTCATCAAGCTACCTGTTATAAAAAGCACAAAGAAAATAAATACTATCCTGTAAACTTCTATACAGATTTCATTGGGGGGGGGGCAGGAAATATTAAGGGCTACAGAAAGTCATGCTTGAAAATGCTGCCAAAACTTTAGGCTAAACATACGGAGTGGCAGAAGCTCACAGCTGGCTTATGGTGAGAAACAGGATGAACAGGAGCAAGAGGCAATAAATTGCAGTAAAATATGATCAGAAGGTATTATTTTCTATATATCTCTGCACAGAGTATTTAGAGCTCTGCTCTATTGTTAAATGAAAAGTTGATTCAAGACGGTTAGCGTCAAAGAACGTTCAGCTCTGTGAATGCATTTATTGGGTTTTTTCAGCTGAACTCTTGTATCAGCACCATGGGGTTTATGGTCACTTTGCACAATCAAAAATGGTCTAAATTAAACTTATAAGGTATTCAATTTGGTATTGTTACTCTGTATATTTCTACATATTATGTGGGAACTATCACCGAACTACTAAGAATCTCAAATGGTGTCCACATACTTTTCCATTACTTTTCATATTATATTCATAAAACTGGTCTCAAGCAAGACTCTTTGGTTAAGTTTTAGAATTAATGGTTGTGCAATTACATAGGTAGCTACTTCTTGTTACACCAGGTTTTGGGCTGGAGGTTGGTGTTTATTTCTTTACAACTTGGTTCAGCCCCAACTTGGAAAGTGAAGAATAACGTAACATGCAAAAGGCAGCTATTTCATTTGAAATGATGATTGCTCCAAAATCTGCCTTCTGATCAGTTTATCAATACCAAATAAAGCTCCTCTGATCTATGAAGACTGCAAGCAACTTAGAGCAGCAGCTGGCTTGTGGGATTACAGAAGAATTACAGATGAGCAAGAGATAAAATTCTCTCAAAATATAGAGCAAAGTAGTTGCTCTGACCAGATTGAAAAAATAACTTAAAAGGAACATCTAGTTTCCAAAAGCAAAGGTCAATCTTTTGTAACAAAGATTTAACTTACAATACTTTTCCTCCCTCAAGAATCCAGGAGACGTCAGTACTCTGAAAATAACACCTAAGACTTCTAGAGGTGCAATCCAAGTAGAAGGTAATTATAAGAACTGAAAATATTACTGACCAAGTGCTACACTAGAGTTGCCCTGAGTTTTGAGTTGGGAAGAAGTTTGCATGCCTTGTGGGGTGTTGGTTCTGCTCTCATCCATGCCGAGAGACAGATCCTTCCTAGGGACTTTAGCTGCTGTTGAGTCATCAGTCATGCCCATCTGCTTCTGTCTTCTGCGTTTCTTACTCCACAGCTCATGGCAATCTTGCCACAAAGGAAGGCTGAAAGAATGATTAGAAATAATCAGTTTTATCACAGATTTTTTTAACTATGTTGGTAAAATAAATACTCAAGTTATACATAAACTAATTTTTGAAAGCTTGATCTACCAGAATTCAGAAACATGAGAAAACACTCAAAGCCACCAAAATCTCAGATCTGCTTTTTCTGGCTGAAATTTCTTCACTCTTTGCCTATTTCAGAAGCACAGATACCTCTGGCAGAAAAGGGAAACATGTATCTTAAAATTCAAATCAATGTCATTTCCTTGCATTCACACTTATGAAAAGCCTAATTATTTGTCTAATTCAAGACTTCAAACATCAATACTGCACACTTGCTACAAAACAGAATTTGCAGAGTAACAGATAACAGAATTATTATATGAATATGAAAATGCTTTTTTCAGGGTATGGGTAACCAATTCCTTTTGATTGCTTGTAAAAGTACTAGTGTCTCATAAATTCAAGTATTAGTCTGCAGTAACAGACATGGCTATTTAGTTTACAGTTGTACAGCACAGACAACCAAGACAGTGGGGGGGAAAGAGAAAACGCTTCAGGAGTAAGCTGCATGAATAAACAGCATTTAACACTATCAGAGTTCAGATACAAGGAGTAACATGGGATATCCCAGTCCTTTTAAAAGACAGGTAAAGGCAGAGACAAAAGTCTCCTAAGGAATTCATCTGTCACCAGTTCTGTCGTTCCCTTATTGTTCCCTGCAGGCATCTCAAGATTTCCTAAGGAACACAGAGACCCATCCCATAGATAATGGAAACAGCGAGCCAGGCAGTAAAAATAGTGCCTTCTGTTTTCCTATTACATATCAGTACCTATCTGATCAGTTCCCTCACCTGGGAAAAATCAGGTGACAGATGACAAATTAGGGGACAGATGCCTCAAGGAAAGGCAATTATGACAACTGCTTCCTTTATTGTTTCCCTCTGCATACCAGATCAAAGACCTGCCAAATTCATAGTCAAAACCAACTGGAAGCAAGCAGTCAGCCCTGTCACTTTCTTTGAATGAACAGCTGCTTCTTCCCAAAGCAGAACTTGAGTTTTTCAGGAGAACAGTTCACACTTTCCTGTGCATGCTCTGTTCAGAAGTGAGTGTGGTTCCTCTTCATCTTTAAAAGGACACCAATGACTATTTTGATTCGAATTTCCATGTATCACCTTCTATAATGGATGCACTCACTACCAAGCTCATGAAAACAACCCTAATTTCTTCCCATTCGCTTACTTGTAAAAGCACATAAGCAACATGCTATACAGGTGGTTCTGAGATTTTAGTGAAAAGCCTAAGGTTGCTGATTACTGATACTCAAACAGCAATATATATATATAATCACATTCAGACAATGAAACCTCTCAGCTTCATGTACCAGGAGCATTAGTAACAACCATGTGTATGTAATAGGTAAGTCTCAGAAGATTTTTAATAACATTCTTAGATAAAACTCAAGCATTTTTCCCAGTTGGTAGCTAATTGAAAAGAAGTCAGTACAGCCTGCCTTGAAGGTACAATTTACTCAACCAATACTAAATGTTCTCTGTTCTGACAGCTATCTCAAGGGAAGAATGTTATCTGCAGATCCTGTAACACTTCTTCATTGTTCTTCTTGGCGCCTGTTCCAATATGATTTGTAGTGATTAAAATGGCAATTAAGTCACTGCAAAAACCCTACTGGAAATTGCAATACATTTCCTCTCAGAGAAATCATCAGGAAAAAACCCTGCACAAAGTAGTTCACCTCTCTTGCCTGTAAAACTAAGAATCTTATCTGGCACAGGAAACTATTTACGGTATTTCAGTTTAACTCTCAGGTACCTTTGCAGAATTCTATACCCAGTGTGATTCTACCATCAAAGAAGGCAATTCAGATTCATGGAGGACCACAAAGCCCTTGGAAAAAGCAGACACCGATAAACAGAGATACCAGAGAAATGTTTTTTCAACATTAGAAACATTCATGTAAGAGTATTCTTTAAAGGTACTCAGTAACTAGTTCCAGGAATAACAGATGAAACAGTTCTCAGATCCTCACAGCCACTGCTATCATGGTGTAAAGTTACTTCAGCTATGCAAACATTTTAGTGCAGAATCACCTATCTATCAACACTTTTGTTCTGCCACCTCCTACTTTAACCAAACACAATGATCTCAATGAAATCAGTGCATGTTCACAGTTTGTAGAGGTAAGGGCCATTACCAAAGGAAATCACTTACTCTGGAGGAGGCATTTTAGATGGTTCCACATCTCGCAGAAACTCGCACTGAAGAGCTTGTTCAGCTGTGCAGCGCTTGCTGGGATCCAGGGCAAGCATATAATCGAATAAATCTAATGCAGCTGGTGGGATGCTACAAAAGAGCAAAATGGAGAAAAGCAGTGTATTTTTATTTTGAATCACTCTGTGCAAAGTAACTCTTCCGAAATAACTGATCATTAAGTCTTCAGTTAACTCATATCCTAGCAGAACCCAATCATAACTTGAGCTTGGTAGTAAGAGGCAGAGAAAAACTTCGCCTTTTATTACCTGTGAAAACATACAACCAAAGCGTTCTTTGATCTGTGTTATTTAATTGCTTGAAACATTGTCCTTACAAAAAATACCCCCACTTTTCTAAGCCAAGACTATATTGTTACTTTACACTTTGGAATTTAGCACCCAGAGAGTTGCAGTTTTGACTGGTCCATGGACAGCAATTCTATTGCTTCAAAGATACAAGTCTCATTAGCAGAAACGGGATGATATATTTCTCCCGAAACCCACAGTAACTGAAGGAGGGAAACAACCCTTTAAAATAAGCTTACAGCTGTTTTCCATAACTTTCATGTGTGATACTTGCACAAAAGTAGTCCAGTGGTAGTACTTTAGAATACAGGATATTCAGATAACTCCTCGGTGCTGAATGAATTTATGACCCAAAAGATTTTAATGTTAACCAGACTACATATTTAGCTCTAGCCAGTTGTCCTAATAAAGTACAATTAAGTACTCTGAGCTGGTTTTTGGACTGGGACAACAAGCAGGTGTACCAATCATGGAAAACAAACGTTTCCTTAGGAAAAAGCTGACAGGTGGTTGAAATTTTAGGGCTTTCTTCCCTCTTCTTGAAGCTCCTATTAAATAAGGGTTAATACAAGCTCTGTGGGTATCATGGGAAGGATAAGAACTTAAAATCATTTTTCTTGACACTTAATCTATGTTCATTCTCCAGAAAATAGTGAAACTTCATAAAGTCTCCAGGAGAACTTAATGCTATTACAGTTGACTAAACTTAATTCTTCATCCTTACAAAGCAAACTCTTCTCTCAGCTTTCGGCGATACTGCTTCTTTGGTTTCATTGTGTTGAAATAAGCTAATTTTATAACATCAGGCCACACTGCTGGACAAGGACTCCCGCAAATTCGGCTGTACAAAAAAGAAGGGGGGAGAAAGGGTATGAGATCCAAAACCACATGCGAGCACAGATGTCATTTTATTCTTGCATGTACAGTGAATATAGAAATATATTTCAATGTTCAGGTTCTTTTATGTTCCTAACTCCCAATGCCAGTGAAGAAAAATACACCAAATGTTTGAAAAAGCACTCTTCAGAGAATGAAGACATGAGGGGGAGAAATCTCAGTAGGGCCTAAGGGCAGAAACAAGATCCAACCACTAGCAAACCTGTGTATTTTTTACTTCACTTTTGTCTCAAGCCTCATCTGTCTCCACAAATGGAATTGCTAAGTCTTATCCATCCCCTCCATTCCCACATTTTGTCCAACTGAAGATGGCTAAGCACAGGTTGACCAACTTCTGAGCAGAACTAAAGAGGCATTTTACTCTGTGTGCAAGGTTTCAAACTCTGATGCATACATTCATAAAAGGACAATTTGCAAATATGTTTTGCAAATACTTTTCCCTAGTTCACCCCCCTATTTATTAAACAGTTATTGTAAGAGACCCAGTGACCTCTTAGTTATGCCCCAAATGCTATGCAAACCAATCTGACTTATACTGGTTGAGATATGCAGCTTTCAGGAAGGACAAGAAAAATAATAAATGTGTCTTTTCCTATTAGAATTTACTTCAGGTCTATCACTGCACATTAAAGATACACAGGATAAATGTAGAATCATTGACCGTAACCTGATGATGGTAAGAAGTTGATAAAATCGATACATCAAACAGCCAAAAATGCATAGCATCAGTGAAGAGGAAAAATGAACTACAAACAGGAGCTTCCAGCAGGAGAAGGAAATCAGAAAGTTTTAGGTTTGCTGTACAAGAGGTACAAACACAAAGAGAAAAAGCTTCAAATGACTCTACTGTGATGTGCTTCAATGCCATCTAGTGCTCAAAAGCAACAATTTCCCAACTCAGGAGTTTGGTTCTCCTTACACTGAGAATAACCACTAAAAACCTCCTAAAACCTACATTTTCCCAGGCCAGCAAACAACACATTACACAGCAACATGCTACTGTTTAATCTGCTTTGAAAAACATCTCAGTATATAAAGTTTGTTATTAATTTAATTTAAAAAATAATGTTGACCATTTACTATTCAGGTTCTGCAAGGATAGTTCTGTAGGACTGACCCTCTTTTCCTCTTGTTCTTATGAGGTCAATTGTGACATCAGAATCAAGAGTAATTTTTACTTGCTGAATAAAGGGTTAAAAAACCAAAAAGATGTTCTGGTTCTATTGAGTTAATATATGTATCATTGTATGATTTCTTCAGATTAAGGAAAGAAACAGAAATTTTACCTCCATAAAGTGTCTGGCAGTTTGCAAGGGAACAGAAATATTCCCACAAAAGTAATAAAGCCCAGGTGTGTATGTGGAAGGTTTGGACAAGAACTCAAGGCCAATAGCACACCAAGTACCTACTCCTCTCCAATCCCACTTATTACGATCCATGTTTCTGTTTTGATTTGCTGCAAGGAAGTTGTATTACCATGTTCAAACTGATGGGCATTTTGACTACACTGTATTTACAACTTCAGTAATAGGCAACTCCAGCTGCTCTACAAGAAAAAAAACCTATTACTATTCCATTGTACACTGCTAGGACCACGGACTACTCAGAAAATCTGCTTCTCCAGGTCTGAGCTGTAGTCTCTTGCTTTATATGCCACTCAAAACCTCTAGAAGTCAGTCAGACTGATAACTGAGTACTTGTAAATGTTTGCAGTGCATTATCTCTGATTTTAACACTAAGAGAAGAAACCCAACAGTTTATGAGGCTCCTACTATGTAGTAATGGTTGCAAGTTACCTTATAAGTTCCAGTTGAGCAAGTTCTTGATTTGCTTGAAATATTGGCTTTTTTGTAAAAAGTTCACCCAGGATGCAGCTGTAAAACAGTTTTGCACAACTCCATCATTATGGCTTTCAGTATAAAGTGATAGAAACATTGAAGATTTGTTTTTGGCTTGGTTTTATGCTTGCTACACTTCTGTACCAAACTCTTACCCACAGCTCCAGACATCGATAGCTGGTGTGTATCTTTCTTCTCCCAGCAGAAGTTCAGGAGGCCGATACCATAACGTAATAACTTTGTTGGTATATGGTCGGCTGTTGGGGGGAGGAAAAAAAGAGAGGACTATCATTTTACTACGATCTCGTTTGTGAAAAAGTGATGCTTTGAGGACTTCTGTAATGCTGTTTAAGAACAGTACAATTTTCCACTCCCCTTTTCGTAACTGTAGTCCTGCAAAGCTGCAACTGTGCAGAAGCAAACAGCAATGTCTGACCACAGCTATAAAAGGACAGGCTGAAGATAAAAATAATTATCACATAGCCCTCTCGATGCTATGTGAATTCTGTATCTCAATTATTATTCAGACAGCAATACTTTATATTTATTACATTGCCATCATTTCAGGAGGAGGACCTGCTTGGATAAAACCATTAATTTCTGGGCAATTACTGATTATCAGCATACATAATATAGGACAAGCATTCTGAAAAGAGGAAAGAAGTCACTTCACTTGTTCCTCTGTAAGTAGAAGCAAAAGAGGCAAAGCTGCCTTCTTGAACTACATCCTTTAACAATTTTGATTCCAAAGCCTGGAATGCTTCCAGTATCTTCCTGTATTTTACATCATCTTTAATTCTCTACATCTCTAACCAGAAGTTTCAGTCACTGAGAATAATCCTTTTCATTTTCACACTAAAGCAAGGATTTCCACTATCTTAGGCACACATTGTTTGTGGACAGGCTGAGATACAGCATCAACAGTTCAGAAAGGAAGGCAGAAAACAGATGTTAAGTTTTGGTTTTGTTTCAACAGCAGTGTCTTAAAAGTGATCCTACATACTTTCAGTTTTAATAATTCACCCTTACAAACACTAGGTAACTCCAAATAGAAAGCAGAGTAACATTCAGTACGGAGTTTGAACAACCATAGCATAAAGTCTAACAAGGTCTTATAGCACTCTCAGTGGAACAGGTATCAGCTCTGCAAAACCACCTGAGTCTCTTTTCCACTAAGACAGTCCCCAATTCATTTTTAAGATGTAGTATGTTTTTGGAAACAATCCTGTAATTTATCACATTTATCTCTGAAGCAAGCATTCCTCTATGAAATGTTTGTAAGGTATGGACTTTCTCTACAGATATACCACTCATATTAGTATATGGTGCTTTTTATTTGAACAGATGTTTTCTTACACAATCTGTCGTATGTCCTACTCCAAACATATTAAATCCACCACAGTAACATTTAAAGGAGCACAACTACAGCAACCGATGGGAATTTACTTAAAATAAATTCTTTTATTTCCTCCCCATTATGCTCCTACTAAATTCTGTACCCTTTTGAGAAGTATATAATTCTAAACAGCAGTAAACCAAATGTAAAATACATGAATTTAAAGCCGCAGCTATTACACACTTCTTGGTATACATTAATTATGTCTTACTGCAGGTCAGAAGCTACTTGGAAGGAAAATGAATGACAAAGAATAGTCAAAAATTTACTAATGGGATTCTAATTATCCTCCCAAGTTCAACGATTAGCTAGCATAATTACATTTTAATCTTGGTTTCATTTATAATGTTGCTATTTGATATATAGTAAAATCTGTTATTTGCACCATAAAGACAGTGAAATCTCAATCATTCAATTCTTAATGCACAGTTAGTTTTACAAGCAAATTTAAACTAAATTTAAAAGCACACATTAAAAAAAACCCCAAAACAAAACAACAAACAAACCATCATGGTAAACCACAGAAAAAAAAAAGAAAAAAGGTCAGTTTGGTGCATGTTAACATAAGAAGGTAGGATGGCATCAATCCCTTTTATTGTAAGTACAGCCAAAACAAATTAATTACCCAGCAGCTGCTTAAGATTATCTTACCCTGTTACAACATTGAACAGTTTTTGTAACTGTACTTCAGCATATGTTCTGGAAATAAGAGCTCAGAAGACAATCAATCTAATGCTATCAGGTTCAACAACAAGCTCAGAGCTCTGCAAGAACACCATAAACTCATAAAGCTAACATTACGGATATTACTTCCCAAACAAGGCGTGCAGAAATCAGAGTAAGCTCAGGAAGCTGATCTCTGTATCCAGCCACCTGATGTACACCACTAGTGTAATGCACATTCAGCCTGAATTTTTTAAATCCAGTTCCACATGACAAACACATGATGTTACAATATGAATATTGAAGTTCTTAATCACAAAATCTGTGCACCTGTTTCCTGGAGTACGAGCATAACGAAGCCAAGAACAACAGAAGCACAAGTCACATGAAGTTTCAGAATAACTTTTATTTCAATTTGTGTTTCTGTTTCCAGCAGATTCAACAGCACTGGCTGCCTAAAGAATACAATGAACCTCTTCAAATGCAAGGTTAAATCCTACACAAAAGTAATGCTTACGGAAAAGACACGGTATACTAATTTGTGTCAGCAAAAGAATTTTGCTTTCCCTAAATCAACTTTTCCTAGGTATGCTTTAGGTTTACAGGACCAGAAACTAATAGTAAAAACTTACATATCGATGCAACCTACTTCAGACTGCAACTCTTCATTTCAATTTAATATAAGGCCAATCTCTACAGTTATTTATCTAGAACACTTCGAAAAGCAATACACTTGCACAAAGAGCATTCTGTGGTTTTATGCAGTAATAAGACAACATTTAGTAAGCAATTACTTCTGTTACAGTATGATATGCGCTCTAAACAGAAGTCTTTTTTTCTGGCCCTTATAATACGTAAGAGTTATGCAAAAACCATTAAACTTCTGACTACTTTTTCATGGTATAATTGTGTCTTACCTTTCTTCAGAGTTGTACAGTCGAGCAAGCCCAAAATCTGCAAGCTTTATCTGCCCTCTGGTGGAAAAAGCAAAGAATTATTTAGTGGTTAATCCTGTTACAGATTTCCCCTCCAAAAACCAGGTGAAGTTTGAGAGCGAGACAGCTGCAACTGATCTCCACCAAACCACATTAATGAGGAGGCAATGCTTACAATCTGTTCATCTCTTGAGTAAACAAATACAGCAACCTACTGAATAGCAAAGACAAGTAAGCAAGATAAGGTATGCTCACCAAATGGCATTTGTATCACTGGATCTTAGACAAAATATAGGTGTATACTGTTAAGTATTCAAATCAGTAACTGTGCAGGAAAAAAAGTGAGGAAGGAAACTGCTATTTTCTCATCCCTTACTGCTAGCATTTGTACAACAACCAACTATCAGCAGTCATGGTTCCTTCTAGGAAGCTGTCAAAGTCCTGTTCTGCTCTTGTGAAGTTTAAATACAGCCTTTAAATGAGGGTGAAAGACCAGATAAGGGCTTCTATTTTTACCAGCAGCCAACTTGCTGGATGACACGACCTCTAACCCCTTCTTGAGTTTTCCCATATATAAGAAGGCGAGTAGAAGATCCAGAGCTCTTGCCTGGCAGTTTCCACAGGTATAAGGCACTGCTCCATGACCTGTAGTCCCCCCCACCTCTGAAGTCTAGATGATTTAAACAAAAGCTATGCAAAAGCTTCTCTAACACATGAAATGAATGTTAAAATGCTACAGGGGGAGGGCTTGGTTTTCTGTACTTAGGAGCTTTTAAAATTCCCATCACTTTTAAATGCATGCAAACCTCACTTTCAAATAGATTTCATTTCATCAAGTTAGGGCAAGACTTCCTGATGTAAGAATGACCATTTTGTGATAATAAAATATAAAGGTTCCATAAATAAAATATAATAAAATATAGAGGTTCCATTCCCTTTTTTCCCATGATTTAAACAAAAGCTATAAGAAAGCTTCTCTAATACATGAAATGAATGTTAAAATGTTACAGGGGGAGGGATTGGTTTTCTGTACTTAGGAGCTTTTAAAATTCCCATCACTTTTAAATACATGCAAACCTCACTTTCAAATAGATTTCATTTCATCAAATTAGGGCAAGACTTCCTGATGTAAGAGGTTCTATTAATAAAATATAATAAAATATAGAGTTTCCATTCCATTTTTTCCCCTCAGATGTGTGCTTAGAATTGTTGTAACACTTGAAGAATCCCCATAAAGGAATGTTCTCAAATTCACATGCTTGTTCTTTAGACAGCACATGTGTGGAAGATCAGTGAATTTTTGAGCAAAGACATTTAAGTTGCATATCTAAAAGATACATAATCCATGTGTTTGGCTTCAGGCTGTAACCGGTAGTGAGACTTTTAGAAATACTGGCTTAAAATTATTCTGATCAACTATCAACTTTTTCTTCTTCCAGTGGAAACATCTAAGGATGCTCGAAAAACATTCTAGGGGAAAAAAACTCTGTATCCTGGATTGGAGAGAGCACAGTACAACAGAAAACTGCACCTCTACAGTAAGACACTCTTCTTCCCTGTCAGTTTACACATCAGCTTCTGAGTTCCCAAAGGTGCATGGAGACACCATCACTCAAGCGAGATCAGGTGTGTGGGCATAGTGACCAATGTGGAGGCACGTGTACATCTGCTTAAGGGTCTGTATCATAACCTGGCAAGACTGTGGGGGGATCCAGAGCTGAAGTAGTCAGTAGATATTTTGTTCTAAGAAAAAAAGGAGGAAAAAATGGAATATTTCATTTGGAGAAAGCTGGGACAAAACTAGGGCCCTACCAAAAGATACCCTTGATCCATTTTGCCCAATATTTTGCTTCCAGCAGCAGCAGACTTTCAGGGAGAATATGTGAACCTGCTCACTTTGGGCCTCATTTTCCTTGTACTTACACCACCCACAATCACTGTGTTAAACACGTTAAAATACATATTCCTATCTATTCCCTTTACCAGGTGTTACTGATCTTGTCCATGAATGCGTCCCATCCTTTTTAATCTCCTGACACTACCCTGACAACAAATCCCAGAAGCTGACTACCTGCTCTGTAAGGACGCTCTTTTTTGCTGTTCTAAGCCTCACTTTTCCAGTTGCTCCCTGGTTTAAGTACCACTGGATTTCATGAACAATGTTTCTGTACTGAAGTCTTCCACTATCTTCACACAGGCTTTTTATATGTTGGTGTTGCACACTGAACAAAAGCATGTTCACTAACGAGCCTTGGATCTACAAGTGGTTAAAGTAGTAAGAAACCAATTAATCTCTCTGATTACAGCTGTAACTGCAAGCCAAAGCATGTCTGAACACACCTGATGAATATTCTTTTTGTTGCACACTGAACAAAAGCATGTTCACTAATAAGCCTTGGATCTACAAGTGGTTAAAGAAGAAACCAATTAATCTCTCTGATTATGGCTGTAACTGCAAGCCAAAGCATGTTTGAACACACCTGATGAATATTCTTTAAAAGCATTATCCTGACTGATGAAGACAAGGACCTCAGAATCGTGTCATGAAGAACCAGCCTAGCCACACTTCATCTTAAAATGAGATGGTAAAAAGAAAACATGTCAAACACTTAAGTCCTAAAATTCTGTTTTAATATATTTGAAGTCAGGTAATTTTCCCCCATAACACTTAAGTCCTAAAATTCTGTTTAATATATATTTGAAGTCAGGTAATTTTCCCCCATACTCTGACATAGATTGAAGTTCTAATCCTGCTCGTTTAACACACAAAGGTTTAACAATTAGAGGATCCAGTGTTGAGCTGCAGTGTTACCAGATTACTATTTCACAACTGATTTTAAAGAAACTAGGCCATCTAAAAGAAAAATTGTTGTCAATGACAAAGCAGGTGAGCTGTGAAGATTAAAGATTTAAAAGTTGTTAATATACAATTTATTTTTTATTTTACAAATTTTAAGTAATATCCATACCTATTATTTAGTAGAATATTTGAACATTTGATATCTCTGTGCAAAAAGTTCTTCTTATGGCAATAGGCCAAGCCCTCCATCAGCTGTCTCATAAAAGATTTAATATGATTTTCATTGAAATGAACCAAACCAGATTCCAGCAGTCCCATCAAGTCATGGTCCATGTACTCAAATACCAGGTAAAATGCACCTAGGAGAAGAAAGGGAAAGGGTAAGAGAAATTGATTAAACAGCAGTTCAAAACATTGCTGCTCCCTATTTTTCAAAGTTTAAACTATTTTTCACACAACTGTTCCCATTTTCTGCAGTATTTATAGCTGTGCCTCATGTCCATTAACAGCAATGAAATATAGTGCAGCAAATTGCTCTTCCATGTGAACAGCTACACTAGTCAAATGTTTGTGAAAACAAATACAACCCTATCAACACGGTGCCTTAATCTAGATGGACACATACTCTTCTATGGCTCTCAATCTCTACCTGTTTTATTTAAGGAAAAATTAACTGGGTTATATGCCATATGTGAAGCTTGGGGAGAAATCCAGAAACAAAAGATGTACAGCATTAGTTCATCTGTCATGATTCAGTGACTGAATTTTTAAGCTTTTGGTGTGGAACTGGGTCAAAAAAAAGCCTGCCTTTCTCAGACCAATAATACCCATAAGTCAAAATGAGAAAGCAGAACTAACCTCCTAGCAACAGCAGCTCTGCAAAGATGGAGTTCATACTTCAAGTTGCCAGATACATACACTAAGCATAATACAATCTGGTCTGATCTCACATTAGCCTGTGTAATTCCACAAATAAAGCTATTAAAGCCAAAACTCTTTGACATATATGTAACCTCATTGATGTATATGTAACTGTTCTTCAAGGGGAAAAGCGTTGAGTGCTTCAGAGGCAGCAATAACCAGTCGCCAGCACACCCACTCCCAGTACAATCTACCTTTCAGTACTTCATTCTTCCCCTTCTTCTTAACTCCAGGACAGAGAAGACAGTGCAGTCCCTGCAGAGCACTAGTGGCAATGCAGAAACAAGTTCTGACTGGGTATGTCTACCTTCCATTCTCAAAAGCCTTTCTCCAAAGAGATTTCAAAGCAAACACTCTAAAGTACAAATAGCTTCTGCCCAACAAGAAATTATTACAGGTTCTGGTTCCTAAATAAAAAGTTTCAACTCAGAAGCTAGTGAGAGTCTTGGAGCAGTAATGAGAAGTTAGCTTGTCAGAATGTACACACAGATGGATTCTAATTAACTGACCTGTTTTCTTGCACAGTAGCTGAAAAGCGAAGAAACAGTGTCAAATCCATCTGCTTTTTAACAAGAAGATAAAAGATCACTCATAGAGTAAGTGTTGAACTTGTAACAAAGATCAGCACAGACCAGATAAACTACAGGCCATTGCGTAAGACACTCAGAGTTCACTGTTCTTAATTGAGGTCCTTTTGTCCTGTTGTGTGTTATATGGAGGAAGCAAAATACTGATCATAAAATACCCCTGTCAGTGTGTACAGAGGATGTGGAGCAGGAGGTAAATCACTTCAAAAGGAAAGCAGGAAGTATTAAGAGCCATAACGAACCAAAAGTCTGCTGTGTTACTATGCGCATAGCTCGAGTTCACCAATGCAGTTCACCAGTTCAGTATGGTAAAAAACACAGAGGCTCCTCATCTTGGTCTTTTAAATCAAGATAACTTGCAAAGGTCTACTTTACTGACAAGTGCTGAAGTATGAACCATGACATATTTTAAAATGCCTTGAAACAGAACACCTGATATTAATGCTGCAGTGCCAGAATAATCTAGACACGCTCTTCAGAAGATGTCAGCTCAATAAAATTGAATAGCAATGATCTTGGTATCTTCTTGCTCTGGAATACAAAGGAAAGTTAACTGTCATGGCAGCAGGCTGCACTCCGTGTGTACGTGACAAGGAGAAAGACTGGGAAGGGTCAGTGGGACTGCAGACCTGCTCAGTGAGAACAGCTGAACAGTCTTCTTGTTTGTATGCGAAGCAGGCTCCATGCTTTGAGCAATTTCCTGCTCTGTCACTAGCTACCAGGACTTTTTTACCACTATTTATAACCAGCAATCAGAATTGGTACCCTCATGCAAGAAGGAAAGCTGACAACAATGGAGACAATTCATAAATAGAACAGAGCGGTACCTGGGAGATGACATCCAATTATTGATGTTCTCTACAACTCTCATTAAGAAACATACATTCGAACAGTACAAATGCTAAATGTTCCTTCTAAATCAAAGCAAGAGCAAATGCACAGATCAATTACACTTCTGCATCACTACCTATGTATGATACAAAGTTAGAATCTATTTTTAAAAGCAAAACAGTCAAAGCTGAATCTTCTTCATTGGTTATGATAAGCTATTGAAATTAGTCTACTAGCCTTGGCAGTCTAACCATTAAAACCTGATTTTCAGTATTACTTAAGCTATATTTGGAAGAGATTGTAGCTGCAAAAAAGGTGTCAAGCAAACCAAAGCAAAACTCAAGTTTATTTGTAGACAAGTGTAGTGCCCTCTTCTGATACACGTTTGGCCAACAAAACAGTTTATTATTCCACTTGATCATTTCAATTTCTACTGCTTTTCATCAGATACAGATCAGAGAACAGTCATGAAAGACTTCACAAGTTAACTATGCACAGGCAGAAGACTGCTTACTACAGCACAGCCAGAGTTCAAGTTAGAGCATTTTTTAGTGCTATCAAAACCACCACACAAATATCCATTACTCAAAAAGGAAAACAACAGAAAAAAATATTTCTTTCCCTTATGAGGCCAAGACATTCAATAACTTGGAGGTTACGTTTTAAAACGACCCTTTGTTGCATGTAAGCTTTGTCCAATATCCACATTTCTGAAAGCAGTGTCACAAAAACACCTAAAGCTCTGTTACAGTAAAGCACAAGCAATTCAAATGAACTGAGAACTATGTATTTGACTTGACTTTACTCATCTTACTGCACTTCACAGTAAGTAAGTACCTGCAGGGTGGGAAGCAGCCTACAGTCTGCATGCTGCCACATACTGCAACAAAACACTAAGTGGGGGTTTATGGGTGCCCCATTTCCTTTGCTAATATCACGCAGCTTATCTCCATTCCTCCATCTACTGAGAAAAGATACCTTAACGTCACTGCATGTTGACACAGCAGCAGCTGGAACAGCTGAACAGTTGTAATATTGCCTACTTCTGAAAATGGGATAAGAGATAGCAGCTGAATCTATTAGGGAGGTACACAATACATAAAGGAGACTCACACGGATGGAAACAATCTTCTCGCATTACTTGTCTTATTTGCACTTCAAGCAATTAATCTCTTTGACCACTCTGTCACTTAAGATTGATAAGGGTCAGAAAGTGAGATACTGCTTTAGAATAGTTAAAGGATTAACATATCTCCTCCTCCTGTTCATTTATTTCAAGTCACAGAACTCTAAAAGTAGTTTTCTTGACCAAAACCCAAAATGAACTGTGGCATAATGCTGTAAAGCTATGCATATAAAATGGGTAACTCAAGACATGGCACTGATGATCTATAATAAAGGATTTTCCAGGGGGTTACAAAAGCTAACAAAACACACTGCACTTCTGTGTGACAACCAGGCTCTGGATTTTTTTGGACTGTCATCAAATCATACACATCCAACAAAGCAGGACAGTAAGTTAGGCATTTGTTCTCAAAGTGAGATACAAGTGTTTCAGGCTGTGCAGGGAGGGGAGCAGCAGGGGAGAATGATCCAGAAGCCTACCCAGATGACAGCTTTTAAACACGTGTAAATTGATAGGGAAGGTGTTTGGGGTTTCTCAAAATACCCGATTAGATACAGATCAGAGGAACCAGGAGACCAGAACTGCCTTATTATGTGCAAATTTTAATCCAATCCTTGTATAAATGCATTAAAAGAGTATCCTGCAATACAAAAATGCTTAAAAGAAAGGATCCTTGGCTCATTCAGCACACGGTATGTACAATGCAGAGTTGTTGAACAGGTTTTCAACAATTTGTTCTGTGCTCACTGTTCAGAATGAGACTCCATCAGATTTTCATCTCACTAATAAGCCTCCTCAGCTTCTTCTATGAAATACATAATTATTTTTTTCCCTTGATTGATTCAAGGTAATTGGATTCTATTTACTCTTCAATTTCCTTCACATTTCTCTACCAGTACTTACAATACACTATATTCCAAGACAGTTTTAAACAGAATTTTGTCAGAGCTTGAAAAGTGAAGAAACCATCCAGCAATACCTTTAAATTCCTTAGAGTCCCTTAAACAGACATTCATCTTTTCTTTCTATTCACATTTTTACAAACCTATTTTCCGATTTGTGAAACACCAAATAAAGGTATATCTACTGAATTAATCACCTGAAGTCTAAAGAAAGCATCACTGCTGTATGCTATGTTATTCTCCCATTGCAAATTCAATTGCATTCTCCTCTTGAAACAAATCCAACCCAAGCTCCATGTGCACGGAAGCACATTCTGAAATAGGTGTACCAGCCAAGGGCATACAGCCCTTGCATACAGCCAAGGGCATCCCTGGGAGTAAATAGTGTCCTTGTTTCATTACATACTACAGGGAAATAAGAAACCAAACAAAAAAGTTAAAGCAGAGGAAAAGTAAACCAAACATATCAGAAATCTTTCATTAATAATGAGGGATTTTCTTCAGTTTGCCATAACACGGATCAAGTTGAAAAGCCACACAATTAGGTCTGCACTCATTCCAGACCAGAGGCCAGTACAGCACACAGAAACAGGAAGCACCACTTAAGCAGTCACACTAAGCCTGATAACTGCAGCATGAAAACTATTTGGGTAAGAAGTTTCTATCAGCTATTTCGGGAGGAGCAAAGGCAAGCTGTAGATCATTAGAGGTTTCTGAAATTCAGGACAGTTTGGTTTTGCTCACCTTCCGAGGAAACCCGGATAAAGCTAGCTACAATAACAGTAGAGAAGGAACCTGTAGTGTTTACTGTAGTGAAGTACTCTCTGATGATAACGTGATCGCTGTCACAGACTTCCTACAAGCCACAGGCTTTCAGACAAGGTACTTCTCAATGGCTATGAGAACGTAACCTGCTTTGACACAGGTACTACTAAGCTGCCAAGATAAATAACAACTTCATGCCTAAAAAAAGCTTGTTAATTTTTACTGCAAATCAATTCAAAGTTTAATCTATCTAAAGTAAATTTAGATTTTAAGATTAATTACAGAAACACACACAGTCCAAACAGATAATCCACACATGGAAACAAAACAAAACCCCAAGCTGCGACATTAACCAGATCTTTTTTTATTGGAGTCTCCCATGCAAAATTTTATTCCTCCCTTGGGTTAGCAGTTGAAAATGCTTCTTCCAGTGAAAAGGAGGAAGAGATGTCAGTCAGAACACCTACTGGTTTTTCATTCATAGCCACAAAAACTAAGTCAGGCACTCTCCATATGTTTAGTAGAGATCGTGGCAGTCCCATAGGTAGAATGTTGAAAATGTGCAACAGCTTCTAGCTGATAAAGCAGCAACTGAGAACTGAAGGACCATCTCAGGTGCCCAAAGTTAAAAAAGAGACCTAAGATCATATAATTAATTGTCAAACTGAGAAAACAAAACCAGAGCTGACAAAAGCCCAAAGTAAGGAGGACCTTTTTTCCAGTCATTCTGGTTCATTTTACAACTTCAGTTACAGAGTTATAACTGAAGTGGCTCAGCTAACTTGGCTTATGAGGTGTATAGGTTTGAATATACCTAGGAAATTGCTCTTTGTTTTCAACTTCTGATTTAAATTTTGCTTTCTTCAATTACTGTTACACAAGCAACATCACACAAACTTTCTCAGACAAAACCAACCTAAAGCACTAAGAGAAGATGAAGACCTTCTGCCCAGTACAATCCTCCTGCTCCAAACTCTGCTCCAAGAGGACATGAACTGAAATCCATGAATACGAATTTTCAAACTCCCATGAATTTGAATTACCATCAAGCAAACAAAAAGGAAAAGTGAAGGAAACTTTAGCTGCCATCAGACAAACACCAACAGTGTCAGGCTGCTTCTACTACTACTGAAGACTGATACCCACAGTTGCTCTTGTACTAGCTCAATAGAGGAAAATGTTTTCAACAAAAATAACCAGAGTTCTGACATTTTTAGGAAAATACTGAATGGAAACTACAGCTCATCGCTGCTATCAAGTCAAAGGAGGCTTTATGTCCCAAGAGAAGCAGAGGAGGCTTAAAGAAACAAACAAACCCTCATCCCCCCCAACACAACCGTACACACAAGATGGGATATAAACTATTAGTCATGTGTTTCCGCCCCTTACCTTGTGTGTTCACCTATCTCCCTCTGTATGATAGGTAGGGGAGAAAAGCCTACATGAAAAACATACAGAATGGATACTCCTCACCACACCCAACATATGTTTTACCTGTCAGGATTGTGCCTCAGAATCAAGGTATTATATCACCGATTAGTAATCGGTAATGCCGTTCTCCAACTTCCTCACCAAGCAAGTCTCATGCATAATGAAAACTGCAAAGTTAAACTTCAGGTTTCAATATAGCAGACCCACTCGGCTCTGTATGTGCCCAACCTATACAAACAATCATGCTCATCTGCTGTATTTCCACTGGTGGAAATACACTTAAAACATTTCTAACACACTGCTCCAATGTGTTAAGTTTCATTTTCTAATGGTCTGCTAGAAAGAATAAACCCAATCCTATATTAAAGCTGTTCTTATTGTTAAACTTACACCCCAAGCTAGCCAGGATAAAACACAGATAAACTTCTCTTTTCTTCAAAAGCAAAATGCTGTTGAAACTATTGACACAAGTCAGATACTCAAGAGTTTGGAACACACAGGATTATGTCACTTAAAATCACAGAATCCCAGACTGGTTTGGATTGGAAGGGACCTTAAACCTCATCCAGTTCCAACCCCCTGCCACAAGGAGGGATACCTTCCACTAGAGCGGGTTGCTCCAAGCCCCTGTGTCCAACCTGGCCTTGAACACTGCCAGGGATGGGGCAGCCAGAGCTTCTCTGGGCACCCCGTGCCAGCATCTCAGCACCTTCACATGGAAGAATTTCTTCTTAATGTCTAACCATGCAAACATGTAACACAGCTCAAAGTATCAGGACAAAGCTGTACAAGGCAAGCCGTTGCGGGTTTGCAGGCCAATAGATTGTGCAAGGTGTGCCAAATAGCTACATAATTGTCAGAAAACTGCATTTTAAACTACTGAGATCCAAGGGAAAAAAAAAATAACTAACACAAACCAACCACCACCACCAAAACTGAAAACAAAAGCCAAACCCAACAGTTTTTATCATATCCAGGTCAAGATATAATAGTCCACCTTAGACACAAAATTAACTTTACTTATGTTAACTAGAAAAGATGTGTTGGAAGAAATGTTTCCATTCCCTACTTCTACAAAAGGAGTATCAGCAGGGATTTGTAAGAGTTATATTCCATAGCCAAGGTAAGCATAAATGTACATTAAGCATAAGCATATTCAGACAGCAAAACACTTTGTTTCTACTGGAAGCTTTACCACTTCTATAATGGTTCCTTCTTAAACCAAGCAGCCTACTTTTGTGTTTGCAATGGTTTACTGTGAAGATGATCAAACTCCCTCCCACTTGCATTCATTTGTTCCCTGCATAGACTACAATTTGGCCACAACATCTCGACTATAAACCTCCATCTCACAATGAACTACTCATTAGAGGAATACAGAATGCAGTGCCTGGAAATAAAAAAACGCAACCCCTCCATCTTTTCACAGACAAATCGTACTAGCACGGTCTCTTTATCATGCTAATGCTTTCAGAAATGAATTTTATTCTAGCATCTCCAGAGAAACTCCTTCCCTTGCATATTTGCTGAAAATATAACTGTTTTAATAAGCTGTTAAACAAGAATGAGAAATTAAATGAAAGCAGTATCAAAAGCACAAATATAGACTTGGGCAAAAAAACCCCAACATTTGAAATTAATGAGATACACAGTTTGAAGTACACCAAAAAAAAATTTACAATTCAATCCTAGACATGGCACCAAACAGAAAGGGAGAAAATTAATTAATGAGTCATTAAGTATTAAGTCAAGGCCCAGTGTGGTCTCATTAGCCAAGTAGGTTAGACCTAATTAAAACTCAGTACAAGATTCACATAAAAAGCCTAAACTGGCTGTTGCAGACTGTTGAGATTCAGAGCAGGTGCTGACCACTGAACCTGCATATATCTAGAGAAACTCCTCTGCTAGATGCTTTCTACTTCTAAACACAGTAAAACAAAAAAAAAAAGAAAATCCTGGCAATGCTGGATTTGTATATGTAATACTTGAATGTATTCTACTTTCTAAAGATGCTTAAAACAACCCACCTAATTCCTGCTTAATTTTGACAGCCATTTTCTGATTCATCACGACATCACCCAGTGTTTCTGCTGGCTCTGCAGCAACATACAGTGTTTTCTACCCACACTGGAGCTGGGCATGCTCTATAAAAACTCTGGGAGAGAGAGCCAGGAATAAGCACAGGTACCACATTCCAAACACCCTCCTCAGCCAAGCCATGTACCAAAATCGCCCATAGAACAATAAAATACCTCAAAATAAGTTTATAAGACTTGGACCTAAAAGGAAACATCCTCCAAAGACAAAATGACTCCTCCAGTATCAAAAGCACCAAGCAACAATGCTGCATGATTTCCACTGTTTCCTTCATTCTCCAGGTTGCAGTAACTCAAATAAGCCAGACTTAACACTGAAGGAACCAAAAGAGTAACAGTCTGCATGCCTTTTATTTGGAGGAAAAACATCCCCACTACACAAATCTCTCTTTTCATTTATTATTCTTCTATTCTTCGAAACACATGTACCCAATTATGAAAATCTGACTGAAGCACAATTCAAAGAAAATCAAAGCCTACAATGAAAAAACACCTCTTCAGCATTTTGAGCCTACAATACTCTGAATGATGTAAGAAAATATTAGGAGGAAAATAAGTCTAAAAAGCCCACAGTTAAGACCTTGCTATTGTTGCTGGCCTCCCTAATCTGTGAGTGTCAAGAAGTCTAGCATCTGTTCCTCTCCAGCAAAACTGGAATCATTATGTTTTCCTTATCCCACAAGATACATGCAAAAATCCTTCTATGAGCAAAAGGCATAGCTGAGCTAAATAAAGGACTTCTACTAGTAATTAAAGTCCCTTGTCAAGCATCACAATTTGCAAACATGTTTTTTAATGAAGCAGAACTTCAAATCCAGCATCACAGACTACTGTACTAAGAACGGAACCAGAAAGAGCTACTCCTGTGTTAGGGTACATACCTTTGTCTTTCTTGAAGTCCAGAGCATCTTCCTTGTCTGTCACTATTTCCTTCATGTTGATAATGCTTTGGTGATTAAGCTGTCGAAGAATCTTAATCTCCCGAATAGCTGTTATTGGAAACCCTTCCTTTTCATTATCCAGACGTACTTTCTTTAGTGCCACCATTTCCCCTAAGAGAAAATTCAAATAAAAACCATTAAGATTAGTAACTAAACTATGTGATTTAGTACTGAGTTTGTTCATTTGTTTTTGAAACCCTTCCCAGTTGTTACTGTTTCTGAGCAGACTAAATAGTTAACATTTTGATGCTTGCACCAAACACTGTGCTGAATGGAAACAGAATTAACCACTGTTGGGAAACTATCACATGGAGAAACAAAGCTATAAATGAGAATTTTCAGCTACCCAGTGTAAGGCCTGTCTTCTTCTTCCTGCACACCCCATTCACCTGTGTCCTGATACTCCACATCAGATCTTTCAATAAACCCCCACAGAAGAGTGATTATCACAGCAGCTTTAGAGACAGAGGCCTATGTCTGCTCTGAGTGTCTTATTACTACAATACCAGAAGTCAGAATGCATGTATCTAGCCAGGAACACAACTAATTCAAGATACGAGGCAGATGACTAAAGACTTCTCAGTATACTTTCCAAAAGAAGAAGTGTCACTGCCACGTTTACAGTAAAGACAGATTTTCCTCATTATTTCACTGCAGGCTGGGCTGGATTCTGCAAAATGGCAGGAGCATGATCTACTCATGATGGAGAATATCTGAAGACTGTATGCCAGCTCAATCATTTTGCTCTTAGAAGTTTATTGCTGCATCCTGGAAGTTTACTGACAGCACACGTATCTTTGTTAACTCTAGAAAGGCCTTATACACCCATGTATGATATATATATATATACAATAGGTAACATTTCAGTACGACACAACATCCTTTGAAAGCCCACTGCACACGCTGTTATAAGGCATCTCGACAGCTGTAATACCACTCTGCACAGGGTTTGAATCCAAAGCTAATGGAAAGTTTGCTGTAACTGTATGAACTCATTCAATACAGAGAGTAACAACTTCTTCTGGAGGTTCAGCAATGATTGCCACACAACCAACCTGACGCTTGCCAAAGAGGCAATACAGTTACGGTAAGATTAACAACTTAAATGGGCGAAGAACAGAATCCCAGGTGAGCAGGAAGAAGCTCCTAACAATGATTTGCAATGTTTCCCAAGGTACAGGTAAAAAATGAGATCTGTGACAGTTCAGCTGAGGAACTAAAGGTTGCAAACCAAGACAAGCACAGGCGAAGAATGATGGAGGAATTATAATTACAGCTCATTCTTCTCCAGATCAGAAAGAAAGAACTGAGGCTGCTATGTGATCCTATGCAACTCAGCTACTGCTGAAGTAGAAAATTATCCAGCATTCAAAGCATGCACAAATAAGCCAGAAGGGTAAGCAGTCACAGCAAGAACTACTAATTGGATATTAAAAGATCAAGCAACATGCCTCACATATGAAGAATCCATTTCAATACATTAGAAGTAGTGACAACATTCTTGCATATCATAGTATCATATCATTGCATTGCATAGTATGGTGATGCTTGCTTATTTTAGCAATAGTTTAACATGAAATTTAAAAAGTATTTTACTGTTGTAGTCATACTGCAAGAAAACCACCCAATATGCAACACTTCAGGGCTGTGCTGCACAGAGGCAGCTTCTCTTCCTATCAACTAATGACCACTGGCATACAAAGAAGAAAAACAGCTAACTCTCATGCGTAGCTTCTTTCACCCTTACATCCCTTCACAAACTTCATTATTTTTTGTCATTCTGTCCAGGGTCCCATTTTGTTTCCCTGGAGTATTTATCCTCTTTTCTTCACTAGCTCAATTGTGTACGAAGCACCAAAACTCAAGAAGTAAGAATAAGAAATTAAGAACATGCAGCTTGCTTTCAGCCACAGTTTTATGGATAAATAATTTTTCCACGGCAGAAAAAGATAATTTCTGAGTTAGACTAACACTAGATTTAAAACTAAACAAACAAACCAAAACCTAAAAACTTTCCAAACATCAGAGGGCAGAATACCACAAAATCTTACTCAGCATAAAAACAAACCCAAAAATATCCTGGTCACTTTAGAACAGCAGGATTACATTCACTTTTTCTGGACTTACCTGTGTCTTTATCTCTGGCTTTGTAAACTTGCCCATAAGTGCCTTCACCAATAATACCAATGATATCAAATTTATCCACACAGCGCTTTCCCCAATCTATTTCTTTTTCTTTTGTTTCACCATGTCGTGGTCCACATATTCTAGAAAACAAAAAGCACTTCTAAGGATACATCTAATATATCTAAGGATTGTTTTAACTTTGACAAGACCTTCAACACTAAATATTTAAGAAACATTATTAGATAAATGGCTTACTACCATTAAGTGGCAATAAACCTTGCAGTTTGATTTCAACCTCATTAATATTTAAAAAGTCAATAAAAATCAGAATTATTTTGAAAAGAATATATTTTAGAGAAACTTATCACTTCTACTTGCTTGATAGGCTTTAAAAAGTCTACTAAACATACTTTGGTCTTCTCTTGCTGTGTAACTGAACTGCTGGTTTCTTTTCTTCAGGACTTTTAGATAAGTCAGCTCCTCCAGGCAACTCAGGTGGAAGCGGCAAATCCGCAAGCAGATGGCGAAGTTTCTTCTCTGTTTCTTTAACTGACTTCACTGAAAGATTCTCTTGCAAACTATTAAAAAGACACAATTTTACTATCAAGATGAACACAGCAGAATGATACTAACATACAGAAAGGAAAACCTATTGGAATTACTTTTTAAAATACATTCTAGGTTCTTAATGCATCAGCATTTGAAATCTCTGCTTTTTAACTACCAAAATTCTAAAGGAACTATGAAAACAGATCTTCCTGGTGAAAGCTGAGGCTAGATGACACAGCAAGCCTTACCAGGCCAGCCTTCTTCAGCCACACGAGCTTCTTCCCAAGCTTATGGCCTAGACTATTAAGAACATTTAGAGCTCAAGTGCTTACAGATACCAGAAATGTAGAGATAAAATCTTATTCTGACTTCTCACATAAAAGAGAAGATTATCCTAATCCAGTTCTCTATAAAGCTGGTCTAAAGAGATAGTGAGCATCACAGTTATAGTAATACTGCAGGGCATTATGAGGCAGTCCACACCACCTCCTTTACAGGTTCCCATCTCATACATTTGTTGAAAGACTCCAGATTCAACATGTTCCTAGTGATCAGCATGCAAATCAAGTGGGAGGGGGAAAAAAAAAAATCAGATGAAAAAATGACTAAATGTTTTTCTGCCATGCGTTACTGATATTTCAACCATTTTTTAATCAAGTATAATTAGTTAACAGATACTGATAGTCCATCTCTGTCCTAAGAAAAATCCCCCAAACACAAGCACAGCAGAGTGTTCCTTTAACAATAACTGTACACAATGATTCCAGAAATACTCTCCTCATTCTAATGGGAAATTCTGAAAGCATTGCACTTGCTGCAATATATTTTTTTAAACACATGGTGCCATCTTACCAGAACTTCCTTTAGTTTAGCTAGATTTGTGCAGCTACAGCGTATCCAGCAATTTTAAAACCACAACCATCTCTAGACTTGTCTGGGTTCAGCTGTAAGAGTTATTTTCCTCCCTCCTAGTAGCTGGTGCAGCGCTGTGTTTTGGCTTTAGTCATGAGAACAACACTGATAACGCACCGATGTTTTAGTTGTTGCTAAGCAATGCTTATCCTGACGGATGACTTTTCAGTCTCTCATGAGCTGCCAGCGAGGAGAGGCACAAGAAGCCAGCAGAGAGCAGAGATAGGACACCTGACCCAAACTAGCCAAAGGGCTATTCCATACCACAGCACGTCATGCCCAGTATATAAACTGGGGGGAGTTACCCAGAAGGCCCAGACCGCTGCTCAGGTCGGGCTGGGTATCGGTCAGCAGGTGGTGAGCGGTTGTACTGTGCATCGCTTGTGTTGTTTTTTTTTCCCTTTCCCCTTTTAGTTTTATATTCTCCCCCCTTGTTATTTCCCTTATCATTATTATTGGTGGTAGCAGTAGCAGTTCTGTATTATACCTTAGTTACTGGACTGCTCTTATCTCAACTCCTGGGATTTACATTCTTTTGATTCTCCTCCACATCCCTCAGGGAACAGGGGGAGGAAGAAGGATGGGAGTGAGCGAGTGGCTGCGTGGTTCTGAGTTACCAGCTGGGCTTAAACCATGACAAGACTTTATATAATTACATAACTGTTTCTCCCCCACAGGACTGTCAGATAGTATTCACTCTTTAAATGTCAAACTCTGTCACTGCATCAAGAAAACTTTCTGTCATGCTTTCAACGGGTATTTTCCAAGATAGCTGCACTTGCCAAACAGTACTACTTTACTGTCAACATCCTTGTCTGGGAACCTTTCTGGAGGTTTTTCTGCAGCTTTTTACCTGCTTAGTTTCATAGATAAAGCAGAAACTTCTGTAAATTTAAGGATCTTACAATCTTTCATCATGGAGAATGCATATAAGTCTTTCTTACATTAACTGCAGTTAGCAATCTTTATATATTTAAATAAAGCATTCCAGTGTTTTGTGTATGTCCATGCTTCCCCATGAAAACAGAACACCCGAATGTCTCCTACCACTTCTCAAGCTGCCACTGCCTGAATTTAAAAAGTACCTCAAGAAAGTATATGCTGCTCTCATCACGAATATAATGGTTAACATGCTATACAGAACAAAAAGTGGTTACTTTTGCTCAGTGCATGCAATTATGGTAAAAAAAAAACAAACTTAAGTTTTCAAGTTCATATATTTCTATTTCTCAAAATTTGGACCTGAAACTTTAACAGCATAATAAGTGAAAGTACAATACATGAGAGGTTCTGAAACAGATTTTGAAATTGGTACATGAAAACAGAGGCAGCCAGAACCTGCCCTTTTTTCAAGTCTCTGACATCACATGTCATTGACCACTGGAAGAGTTTTCTCTTTCAGCTAACATACACAGAGGCTTTGCAACACTGCTGTTCCTTTAGGTAAGTTTATTTGTGGGTTTATCAGGTCCTTGCTGAACTTCACAGCTGACATGACATTAGGAACCAGACAGTTCTGCACAGTATCAAGCTTTCTTTGTTGGCACAATTTCCCCATAGCATCTCTGAGTCTAAGGTAAACACACTTTGCCCTCATCCCCCCTAAAAAACATTGATCGTTTTTCTTTGAGTACTTAAGCTTTATCACAACTTGTAATCTCAACCATTCTGATCTGGTGTATAACATCCTATAGGCAAAACTAAGCAAAGCTTAACAGTGCTGACAGAACCATAGCTTAATTGTAATTTAACTCCTCCATGCAGTTTAGCTACGCTTAAAACAGGTATCGCATTAAAACACACTAACAATGAGAAGCAATTAGCCATCTTCAAGTTGAAATCTCATTTAATTTTATCGCAATTAACACTGCAATGCCAATCATATATATATTTATTAAACCAGTTAGACTAGTTTTTACTTAAAGCAGTAAACCTTGCTCTCAAGTAACAGTGTCTGAAATCCCGTTTACCCAGGGAGGATGGCTTTGTCATAAATATAAATGCTACAGGACATTTGCCACACATATGTGCTTCTGAACAACTGGAATAACATTTGCTAGAGTGCTTAAGGGCAAGAAACACGATTTCTCTTCTACTACTAAAATAAATGTCTAATACATTGTTAGGTTAGATTTATTTGCCAAGGTTTCCTGTGCATGCTAATGTTCAATGTAGCATTATATTATTAGCAAAAACAAGAGAAACGTTTACACCTCTTGTTATAACTACCTTTACTAACTAAAGAAACACTACACACTTCTCAAAGAGTAAGAGAAGACAGGCTAGTTTCATAAATACGGAATACGAAGTACTTCTAAAAGTTTTGAATTTTGCTTTTACAGTTCGTTTTCTTACAAAAATAAATCACACAAACTAGTTATTACTTCAGTGCTAAGAAATTTTGGTTTACTTGTTGTAAGAAGTTGCTTTCTTGTATAGATGCGAGAGGCTTGTAACACCATGAGTAAAAACAGAAGTAACTTCCCTCAACTTCTTCACCAAACTGAAGGAAAAATAGTGAATTCCAGCTCAACAGCATAATTTTCCAATATAAATTGCAGCACAGATTCTTCATCAGGATTATGAGGAGACTTAATGTATTTTAAACTCAGATGACAGTTGGAATAGAGACAGACCAATTTTTACACTTCAAAAGTTAACACCAATGACAAGTCATGAACCTCACTTCCATTATACATACTCAAAATAATACTGATCTCTGAGATAAATTATATTAAAATAAGACACGGCTATTAAAACAATTGCCTCCCCAAAGGGAAGAGAAACTTCACTTCAAACCAAGGTAATTAAAGAATTCACATATTGCTACTGAATTCAACTTTTCCCCATATGTACATACATGATCTGACCAAACCTGAAATCCTGATGCCTTGCATTAGTCCCAAAGCTATTATGTACCAGCAATTTTAAATCACCTCTAGTGTACCTTTTCATTGAAACATTCCTTCTAACTAAATCTTTCTCTTTTCAAGAATGAGTTCAATTATTTTTATTTCCAGATCAAATTCCTTCAGTTTGCCAACAGCTGCCATGTTAAGCAAGAGCAAGAATTACCTAATGCAATAGCCTGATCTAGCAAATAGGTTTATATTCGTTTTCCAAGGGAAATAACAAACAAGCAAACCCAAACAACAACAGTGAAGAGGAACAGACAACACCAAAAAGCAATGCCACAACTCACCTATCAGTTTCTTTATCTTCAGGCAGCGTGGGAGGCAAAGGCAAGGGTGGCAGTGTGGAGGTTGGTAGTGCAACAACTCGCTCCTTCTCCTTGGTTACTACACTTGGTGTACTCGGTTTGCTTTTCTCTTTTACAGTGACGGGTGGCTGTTTTACAACAGTTAATTTATTCTCTTTTACTGCTGTAGGTTTCTGTTTAGTAATTTTGTCTGCAATTAAATTATTTTCCCCTTTTGTTTCAGGAAGCGAGACCTTTGCTTTTGCCTTGTCATTCTTCAAATTCACACTGCTTGTAGGGGAAGGTGTATGCTCAGTTTTTGTTTTCTTCAGGTCCTTTACATTGTTCACTTGAGGAGTACTTACAGCAGCGTCAGTACTTCCCTTGGTAGGTGTTGAAGTATTGGAAGCTTTTGCACTGGCTTTGGCTGCCTCAGCAGCTCTTGCTTTTTTGTTTTTGTTCAGCTCAGCCGCCAGGCTACTCTTCAGAGTCAATGTACTAGGGGAGATACTCGAATGACGACTTCTGGATCTAGACAACCTGTGTCTGCTACGAGACCTTGAGTGCCTTGATGAATATGGACTTCTGCTTCGAGATTTTGCTGATCTCCTGTTTCAAAAGAGCAAAGATTCACCTAGTTAAAATTTAGCCTAGCTGCTTTCCCAGTGTATCTGCTCTTTTGACAGACTACTTTTTTTTAAACCAACCATTATCACCATGCTTCCAGAATAAACAGAAGTCTGTGAAGTAGGAAAGATTGTGCATTAATAATCTAGAGTTAGTCAATCAAGATTCTACACCTATACACAGGCTGTTAGAAGATGTTGAAACTTTCTTAGATGTGCCTTATCCCATTAAGGAACTGCAAAATAAAAGTATACCTATAGGACAGATACATTCCTTTCTCCTCACTGCTTATCAGATACATTTCTTTCCTTTGAAGAAAATCTGTCCTATGCAACTTGTGCAAACACCATTAGTATATGCAGTACTGGGGAAAAAATTCACCTGGCTATGTAACCAGAATTCAACAAAATGAAATTAACCTAACAACATGAAAAGAAAAACCTAAACACAACACAGAAGCAGTAGTTGTAGCAGCTACTTACCTTTCACTTTCACGACTGTCATTAAAATAAGTTAGGAAAAAAAACCACAAAAACTGAATGCTAAAGTCTGCAATGTAACCAACTGAAAGACAGTAATAAATCTGAGCTTTCCTTTTTGGAAATTTAACTGTACACCTTAAAAAACAAACAAACAAACAAACTTAAAAATATCCAACCCATCCACAAAATCACACCAGGAAAGAAACTCAGAATGAGAGTGGTTGTGAGGAACCTGAACAGTTAGAAAAGCAAACTTTTACTGTGCCAAAATACCATTTAATATGAATTATTTTCCAAAGATATATCCTAATTTGCCTTGTAGAAGTTTTGAGTGAGTTCTTCATTAAAAAGGAAAAAAATTAACTGAGGTGAAGGGCGTGGAACAAGTATAGTAGCCTACTTCACTGCTACCACACAGAAATGTTATGAAATAAATGAAATGTGGAGGATTTAATCCATTTTACCATCCTAAGAATAGCAAGGGTATTCATCAGATTTACAAGTATTTTCTTGATCAAAGTTTGATGGAAATCTATTTTGCTTGAGTATATCGCTTGAAGGAGAGGAGAAAGTATAATCAGGATTAAAAAAAGTATATTCATCAGGTGGACAATGAAAAAAGCATCAAGCAATAGCAAAAAATAAGACTTCATGGAGACAGAAGAATTTCAGAATTCAAAAGAGAGCACCTGTATATGGAGTCTGCCAAAATGAAACCAACCAAACAAAAAGCAGCAGCCAACTACAATCCTGGTCAGGACTACACACCCCAATGTCAAATTTAATTTTACTAACAATTAAGTTAATTCAGTTTTAATTGTCAACACAAGAAATTACATTTCAAGGCTTCAGCCAAAGAAATACTTAATATAGTACAACATTTCTATTGTGTGCAATATTTATTGATTTCCAAATTCACACTTTTTCACCGCATTATAAACAGAACTCTTTTCAATCTTCTTTCTAAAGCAACACAAGAAGTCATTGAGATAAATCAAGATTATGTAGAAGTGATTGAAAACAATGTATAGGTATGCACACTGTATACTGCTGACCAAGCTTCAAAATTCCATAGGTAAAATTGAAATAGATCCAAATGGCTAAAGACCCTTGAAAGGAAAAAAGAAAAATACATCTCAAACCCCCGCTGAGGACAACTCTGAAAATAACACAGTTCATTTCTATGCCAGGAAGCATGTTATAGAGTTTTCTGGCACAGCAGGGCAACAATGACAGATGGCAATAATAAGAACAAGAACAATAATCATAATAATAAAAATAGAAGGTTTTTATACTTTCATAAATAAAGGTGCTCTCTGAATTTTCAACACAAATTTCAGGTTTTGGTTCACTTCAGTAGAGAGATATCAATATCCATTTTCATTAAAAAACAAATTAAAACATGATATTGGTCAGAAAAACTCCTTTGAAAACTCACTTCTGCTCCATCATGGATCACAGAATGGTTAGGGTTGGAAAGGACTGAAGTTACTTTTCTCGTTATGACTTTGGAAATCTAAGTGCTAAATAGTACAGAATATTTTCAGAGGCTTAGCCAAACTAGAGTAAAAGTAAAAAAGTAGAAAGCTCCATAATACACAGTTAAGATGGGGTAGTAGGAAGAAAAAGGAGGGCTGAGACTATCTAGACAATACATACGCTTTAATTGCTGGGCCAGAGCTCTCCTCACACTATCTCGCCTTCTGAGAGGAATTATTATCTCAGGCAGAGATATACTGCTACAGATCCACACCAGCTGTACAAGCAGCACAATTACATTTCTCCAGCATCAAGCACAAGCTAATAAGCCCCATTAGTCCTAAACTGACTTCTATAAATGGCACATCATTTCTGAGGATGTCGCTGACCTGCCTTGGAAAACATGTGCTTGCACATCTTGTTCCTAGAACAGCTATTTTAAACAGTCACTCACTCCAGCTACCTGTAGAACACAACCGCCATCCCAAAGGACCTCACTGCAACCTGTACTAAATTTAAAACATGCCCTAATGGTCTCAAAATCAGATATATTTCTTTCATAAGTACAATTACTTTGTTTTGTGGGGCGAGTTGGTCGTTTTGTAAGGTGCCATATATAAAATAAGTAATCTATGTCACAAACAAATGTGGACCTAATACCACATGCACTTGGAAAGAGAAGTGGCAGCTTAAAACACTTCAGTTGCTGGGACACCGTAAGGCTGTTTCTGTTCTACTTTGGTTCAGGTTTATTTATATCACTACTAAGAATGAAATGATAACATCTGTTCAAATTAATGACTACTAATGCTCACCTGATCATCTATCATAACGTGGTGAGGAAGAGGCACTTTTGAAAAGTTGGGGCAAAAATAACCGAAATCTTTATATTCTCTTAAAAACAAACATGTAAGGAAGTCAAGCATTCACAGTGGATTGATGTATGTATTTTACCAACATCAATCAGGAGAGCCTGGGATGTGAATATGGATTTATGTAAGCTCAACAACAAAAAACCCCAACCATTCTCCATCCCAGGTTTCAAACCCCAAATTACAACAGCATAACTTTCTCATGTCAGAATTGCGTAAGTCTGGGAGACAGCAAATACACATACACACAAATATTTAAGTTTCAGTTCCAGTATATATAGCCCTTAACAGCAGATCAAAATGATAGTGGTCTAGTTACGAAATATGTTGAGTGAGTATAATCTCTGCACTGGTTTATTTTTTCCAGAAGTTTTTCATTATTCATTTTTATGTCAGCAAAGAAATTTATGTTGCATTACAAAGTGCATGTCTGTGCTAATAATAAACTAGAACTTCCTTTGGCATCTTAAAAGACCTTTGCAAGAATCCCTTGTAGTACCTTGTCCACTGAGCTAGACCCAAGAGTTACAGCAAAAACATTAACACTTTAAAGAGACAAATGCTGAATCTTAAGTAAAAGGCAGCTTTCTCAAAGTGCAAGTTATTGCAGTTACAATGAGAAAATCTGCTGTTTTCATAAGCATAAGAATCTTTTCCAATATTTAAGTATCACTTTCTTTCATCAACAGTAGTTCCAAAGTCCCAAGAGAACCTTCCAGACTGGACAGAACTTATGTACAAGTTTCCATCTATAAAAATGGCACAAAACCAGAACTATGGACATATACAAGCTTTCCCACAGAAGCATATACAGAATTCAAGATTGAAGAAATATTGTCTTACATGAAATAAAACCAACCAATTCATTCTGTTCAGAGCTAACGCTCATTTGACATAAAAGATGAAGTCGCAGCAGCACAGATACAGGCTCACACAATAGCAAGTGTCTGCCATTTTAACAGGACACTGACATTTTACTGGGGCCCTGAAAAAACCACCAGGAGAGACATTTGAAATATATAGTACTATTAAACATGTCGGCATGCCTCATACATACATATATGAAACCCCTTATCTAACATTTATCACCACCTATTTTGTCTTCAGATAAGTTTGTTTTTAACACAGTAAACAGGAACGAAAGAACAGTGGCTACAACTGCACAGACCTGCATTGCCAACAGCAAACAAATCTAAAATAATCCAATCTTTTTTTCCCCTCAAGCCTAGAGAGATGAGGAAGTGTACTACATCTCAGGAGCACATCCCAATCTTGCAAGTCAAAAGTACCAGCATCTTCAGGTTAAGTTTCCTCCAACACTTCTATTTGAACGCAAAAGAACCCGTAAATGAGGCAGAACCTTTGCCACACTTAGCCACTAACAGTCTTTCTTCTAGGAGCACAGAATCAACTAGATTGGAAAAGACCTTTAAGATCAAGTCCAGCCGTTCGTTCCCCAGCCCTGCCAAGGCCACCACTAACCCTTGGCACTAAAGGCCTCATCTACACGGGGGTGTGAACACTTGCAGGGACAGTGACTCCAGCACTGCCCTGGGCAGCCTGTTCCAATGCCTGAGCACCCTCTGGGCAAGGAATTGTTCCTCAGCTCCATTTAAATCTCCCCTGGTGCAGTTTGAGGCTGTTTCCTCTTGTCCCATCCCTTGTTCCTTGGGAGCAGAGACCAGCCCCCTCCTGGCTCCATCCTCCTGTCAGGCACTTGTAGAGACCAATAAGGTCCCCCCTGAGCCTTCTCTTCTCCAGACTAAACCCCCCAGGTCCCTCAGCTGTTCCTCATCACACTTGTGCTCCAGGCCCTGCACCAGCTCCAGTGCCCTTCTCTGGCCCCGCTCCACCACTTCAATGTCTCCTGTACTGAGGGGCCCAGAACTGACACCAGGATTCGAGGTGCAGCCTCACCACTGCTGAGTATAGGGCACTTGGACTCACTTCACACAGGTCTATATTCCTACAGAGAGGATAATTTACAGACTTCATGACATTCATAAAATCACTTCTGAATCATATACAGGTTTCAGTATGGTTTTACGTATAGAGGGGAAAAAAAAAATAAAAAAGAAGGAATTGATTTTCCTAAAAACAGTATCAGTAGGACTAGTCTGCGTTAGAACTAAGAAGTTTTAAAGCTTTTTTTCTTCCCCAGAGACAGCAACAAAGGAGACGAGGAGCACAACTAGATTAGCTGCAAAGAGAAACTGAAGTAATTACATAATATCATGTGTAGTTACAAAATAAATTGGGGAGGAGGGAAGGAAGGAGTTCAAGACAGTATCTACGAAGCATGTAGAAGAAGCAGATTTCAAGAAAACTGGTAAGAAGAAAGCATTAGTAAGGAAATCATCCTGAAATCAGAACTCAGCACTGCTTTCCTCCATTTTTCAGAACAATGAAAAGATCATGGGGTTTTTTTCCTCCTTTTAAGAAATAACAACTAAAGGTTGGTTTAGGTATCACAAGTTTTTAATGTTTTTTGCCTAGCACCCCAGATTTCATAAAACAATCCAGTATTCACTTTTTCTCTGCTTAATTAATACAATGTACCCACTGTATAAAAAACTACTTAAGATATTAAAGTGCTATCAGTTATAAATTTCAACACTGTTACAATATTCCTCCTTCTCACAAGGCAACACTCTATTGCACTTACCAATTACCAAACAGTAGATTTACCAATGAAGATAAAGTAATTTAACAAAACAAAACACCACATTCCTAAGCACAGAATGAAAGAATTCCAATAATAACTTAATGCTTAAGGGTGCTATG